CGTAGGGCTCAGTCTCCAGACCCCTGATCATCCTCATCGCTCTCTTCTGCACCCTCTCGATTTTGCCCACATCCTTTTTGAAGTGAGGCTTCCAGAACTGCACACAGGAGGACCCCAGGTGCGGCCTGACCAAGGCAGTATACAGAGGGGCTATGACCTCCTGCAGTTTTGATGCTACGGCCCTTTTAATACAACCCAAGACTGAATTTGCCTTTTTTGCCACCGCATCACACTGACGGCTCATATTTAGTTTACAGTCCACTCTTACCCCAAGATCTCTTTTGCATACACTACTCCTGGTATCCCCAGTAGAAACATCTCCAAAGGAAAGCAGAATGACCATTAATATTCCCCCCACACACAAACACTATATTGTTTCAGAGGTCAGCCATGTTGATCTGCAGCAGACCAGCAAGATCCAAGTACAGAGTTGCACCTTAGAGACCCACAAGATTCTGGGGGTATACCCCCTTTGGCTGCGGTCAGATGTCAGGCTTAGCGCAGTCTGGCCGTGCCTCTAATTTATTTGGTGTTACTTGTTTTGGAGAGTTTTGTCCAAATATGCCACCCTTATCCTGCCTCACTGCATGCTCACCCCGTGGTGGACCATTCAGATTACTACTGCATGGTATCCTTGGAGCGGGCGGGCAGCATTCTTTTAAACAATTGTTTTCTGGGCATGTGCAGAAGCGCTTATTCTTGCTGACAACTTCATCTTCCAGAAAGTGGAGAGGGAAACAAGGGGATCTGCTACCTTGGACTTGATTCTTACCAACAGGGAAGAACTGGTTGATGAGGTGAAAGTAGTGGGCACCCTGGGTAGTAGTGACCATGTAATTTTGGAATTTATAGTCTTGGGGATGGTAAGAGCTGAACGTAGTCAGACATATAGATTGGACTTCAGGAAAGCAAATTTTGACAAACTTAAAGTTATGCTGGGTAAAATCCCATGGTCAGAAATACTTAAGGAGAAGGGAGTTCAGGAGGGACGGGAGTTTCTTAAAAGTGAAATATTGAAGGCACAATCAGAAACTATTTCTATGAGAAGGAAAAATGGAAGGAGCCTAAAGAAGCCAAGTTGGCTCCATAAATAGCTTTCTAAAGACTTGAGGAATAAAAAAGACTCATTCAGAACCAAGGATGAATATAAACCAGTGCTTGTAGAGAGAAAGTTAGGAAAGCTAAAGCTCAGTATGAGCTTAGGCTAGCGAGAGATGCTAAAAACACCAAAAAAGGATTCTTTTCTTATGTTCAAAGTAAGAAAAAGAGCAAGGACATGGTAGGCCCATTGTGGGGACAGGAGAGTGAAAATGCAACAGGTGATGAAGAGAGGGCAGGGCTGCTCAATTCCTACTTTTCCTCAGCCTTCTCTTGCGAGGGAAATGGTGCTCAATATGGCAAAAACAACACATGATGAGGGAAGGGAGTTGCAGCCTAGGATTGGCACAGGGGTAGTACATAAATACTTAGTTTCTTTAAATGAAACGAAGTCCTCGGAGCCAGATGAACTGCATCCAAGGGTACTAGAAGAACTTGTGGATGTAATTTCTGAGCCTCTGTCCATTATTTTAGAGAAATCTTGGAGAACAGGTGAGGTGCCAGAAGATTGGAGACGGGCAAATGTACCCATCTTTAAGAAGGGGGGGAAAGAGGATCCGGGTAACTACCAACCCATCAGCTTGATGTCTATACCTGGGAAAGTTTTAGAACAAATAATCAGACAGTCCTCGAGCATTTAGAAAGAACGTCTGTGATTACTAAGAGCCAGCATAGGTTTCTCAAGAACAAGTCTTGTCAGACTAACCTTATCTCTTTTTTAAAGAAAGTTACTACCTTGCTGGATCAGGGGAATGCTGTAGACATAGTTTATCTTGATTTCAGTAAGACTTTTGATAGTAAAAGGTTTTCCTTGCTCGAAAGGCAGTCGAATCCGACTCTAGGGTTGCGGTGCTCATCTCTGTTTCCAAGCCGAAGAGCCAGCACTGTCTGAAGACGTTTCTGTGGTCTGCAAAACATTCTTGTTGACAAATTGGTAAAATGTGGTTTGGATCCTATGACCCAGGGAGAGCAAAGAGCGACTGGCTCACACCTCGTCTAGACGTCACGCCTAATGCAAGGGGAGACTCTAAATTCTCAGGGAGAGAGGAATATCTTATATCTTAGTTCTTATGTCTCTTATGCCTTAGTTATTGGGCTCTTCCGCACACACGTCATGAAAGACACAGTGTTTATCTGGGCAGAAGTCCTAGCTTTGAGAATGAAGGCAGTGGCGGACTTCTATATGCTGCAGCTTCCAGAATGACTATCCTAGCCTAATTAAACATCACTTAGGAGAAGTACAGAGCTTAGGCTTTAGAACACGGAGTGTTTTGACTGTTACTTTTTATCCTTGCTCACTTTGAAGTTTGAACAGACCATGGTACTCTTTCTGTTTACTAAACTTCCTTGTATTTTGAATGCTCAAAGCGTGATCTCAGTAAACACACCAATGCAGCAGGCGATCGCTCTGTCCCTGAAGCCTGTAAGCGTGAGAGTCCAGCAGAGCAGATCATCCCCACGCTAGCTAGGGCGAGCGGAGCAGGAGGTGGGGCAGCCGAGCAAAACTTTTCAGCAGCAAATTCATTGCACAGCTGCATGGAGTTAATCAAGTAGAACCTTTATAAAACCTGGATTGATGTAGAGAGCTTTATACCAGCTACAAAATAAAGGCTTTTAGCCAGGAGAAATGAAGACTGGTTTGCTACTACCGTACTAAAAGAAAATGAACAGTGTTTAGGAGAGCAGTGCCAACAAAATCCAGGAGGCTTTTTTGAAACCTATGGGCTTGATCCACATGTAAACACTTGGTATGATCCAGAAGTAAGTTTTCTAAATTCTGAAACTAATTATTAAGGTATTATGGTTTGAAATAATTAATTTCCATGCAGCTACATATGAATTTTCATTTACCTTGGTTTTTCCAGGATACTATGAAGAAAAGTACAATATTAAACTGGATTAAGATGCGGACCTCTCCCTTCAGTATAAAATTACATCTGAGGAAGACTGTAAAGTTGAAATGAGTTTATACCGGATACTCATTATGTTGAACTATATTGGACCTGTTGTTCACAATATTGTGCAATTGATAAAACTTTTTGTAATTTTATAAGTCTTGAAAGTAATATAAATCTTCTGATAATGTTTACATCACAGGATTGTTTATGTGTTTTTCCTATTGGATACCTGTGGCCCCTCTTGTTTTGTACTATTGTATTTGGGAATGATAGAGCAAAACTTTTCAGCAGCCATACAGATGTCCAAGTCTGCCCAGTGGGCGACCCCCTTTCAGATTCATCGGTGGCAGCGGTTACTACCTGGAGAGAAGCTGGTGCCCCGGGGCAGGCATAAAGGAAAGGGTGGCAGTGCCAGGCAGAGACCTTGGGTGGCTGTGGGGCCCTTTCATGCTCCAGGGGCCTGAGGGAATGGGGCTTGCGAGGTGGGTTCCTCACAGATTGCCAACTCACTCGCACCCCACGACAGGAGAGCTGTCCCTCAGGGGCCTTGAAACCCACAGCAGAAGGTGGAGGACAGGCCCGCTTGATAGATGTTCCTTTCCCCCCAAGGAAAAGGGTCCGACAGAGAATTCTTGGCACCTCAGCTAAGTGCCTCTGAGCATGAGCAAAGCCCTTCTCTTGTCTGGCAGGAAGCCCTTTTTAAAATATGAATGGCCAGGTCATGGGAGGGCTTCAGGCAAAGACAGACGTGGGCCTCTTGGGTTGTGGGTCACTGGAGTCTGGCTGGCTGGCAGCCCAAGAGAGGCAGGGAGAGAGGCCTTCCTGGCAACTGGCACTTGGGCGGACGGAGACTCTGAAGGCCCAAAGCCCCAGACTGTTTTTGGCCTAGCGGAAAAGGCCACTCGGAATATTCCAAAAAAAATTCCACAAACGACGAGAAATTATCTGGCCTTTGTGGCCAATTAAAACCCACAAAACAGCAAGCCAGCAATTCAGTTTCACAGAACCTTGCTTAAATTTGATGTCAACAAAGAAGTCCGTGGAACAGAAGCACCGTGTCTTTCTGATTGGGGTGCTTGTTGCTGGCCCTCACCGAGGTACTACAAAGCCGCTCTTTGAGTCTCTACTTGTGTCACCCCACGAGGCACACAAAAGCTTCTACACCCAGAATTAAACTTTGTTGGTCTTAAAGGGGCTGCCACTGGACTCCAACTTTGTTTGATTGCTTCAGACCAACACGGCTACCCACCTGAATCTATCAGAGGGACATCGGGACCTAGAGTGACAGAGCCTGCTGAGGGAAAATCAGCATGGCTTCTGCGTCCTGCCTCACCAACCTTTTGGTGTTCTCTGAGAAAGTGAACAATCATGCAGAAAACGGTGACTCGGTAA